GGTAAGTCACTAAATAGCTCTTAAAATCTGAATGCAAGATCAAGTGAAAAATGAATAAAACTTACTGAATTTGTTGATTACAGTTAGATAAACTGTAGTATAAACTAGCTAATTCTGCCTAAATAGGGCATGATCCTGTCCTTATGTGTTTAATTTTAAAAGTCTCTCAGTTACCTAGAATTAAGTAGGGAAGATAAAGATAACATTGTCAAATGAAAATAGTCTACTCCTTATGGGAAGAGTACGCAACATAACAAATTTTATCTATATTTAGACATTTTGTTGGCATTCTTAAATATGCAAACTTGCAAAAAATGGTTACTGCTTTTTATATTTATGATTGAGTCAGAGCAAGGTAACTTATATAATATCCCTCTCATTAGGTGTGGGTATTTGACTAAAACAGAAACTTATATCTTCCTATTTAATGGTTTTTCTTGATTGGACTAGTCCTCTACAAGGTAACTAAGAATGCATTTGCCCCCTGTGCTCTTATGGAGAAGATGGCTTTTCCTTCTACAACCTATGACTTTAAGGTCTTGCTGCCCTTATACTGCATGTAGGAAGGACAAGAGTATAAAGGGAGGAAGCATACAGCTACCTTCCACACATTCTTTGAGTTAAATTTTATCTATTATTATCATTTATTACAATTTATTCAATTTGTTTCCCAGCTGTAGCCCCCTCCTTCTTCTCATCGCAGTCCCACTCTCCTTCCCTCTCCTCCCATGCCCCTCCCTATGTCCACTGATAGGGAAGGACCTCCTCTCTTTCTATTTGACCTTAGCCTATCAAGTCTCATCAGGATTGGTTGCATTGTCTTCCTCTGTGGCCTGGTAAGACTGCACCCCCAAGGGGTAGGTGATCAGAGAGCCAGCCAGGGAGTTCATGTCAGAGAAAGCCTCTGCTCCCCTTACTAGGGAACCCACTTGGATACTGAGTCTATGGGCTACATCTGAGCAGGGGTTTTAGGTCCTCTCCATGCATGGTCCTTGTTTGGGGTATCACTCTTTGCAGGGCCCAGTTTTTATGGCTCTTTTTGTGGAGTTCCTCTCCCCTCCAGTTCTTTCTATCCACCCCCCCTTCTTTCATAAGACTCCCTGCACTCTGCCCAAGCCTCCACACATTCTTAACTGCCATGGCTTGGAAATAAGGGGTGCCTTCTACTCACATTCCATTGGTAAGAATTTCCATCTGGATTCAAAGAGATCCAAATTAAAGGCTCACTTTGTTCTCAGAAACATGGAGCATATTTAGTCATCATCTTGTCACCTGCTGTGACAGGACTGATTAAAAGATATGCTAAAAATGATAAAAGTAATTTTCTGGTTGTTACGTTTTTAGAAGAATTTCTGAAAGAAAAGTACATATAGATCATCTTCATCTTAACTTTGTAAAAAGGGTTGAAATGGTCACTGCAAGACTCAGCTTAGTAAACTAAATGTATATTTTATGAAATGAATGTTTAAAAAATTACTGAATCTCAGGAAATATTTTAACTTTTATGATGGAATGATAGTAGCTGAATTGCAGAACTGCCAAAATACTTGGGCAAGGGAACAGTTAGATGAATAATCTGAGTTTGGTAAAGATGTAAAGCTGTTTCACCTTAGATCTCAATTATGTTGCTATTTCATAATCCCAAATAGGAATTTGGCTCAAATACAGAATGGCATTGCTGCAAACTCCAACTTGGGGCCCAAATCATTGGATTTTTAGATCCAAAAGAAAGTGAAAGAAAATCTAAACTTTAAATTTCTCCAGCTATACAAAACTAAAGAAATTTCAGACAGAAAATAGGAGCACAGGATAGATTTGCCCACCCTTCCTGTCTCCAGCAGAACTTTATGGTGATGTAAAATCAAGCTTCTAGGTTAGAGTTGGTCATATGTGCTTAAGAGTTGGTAAATGGATTAGAAAAGCTATAATTCAGAAATTATGGTGTACATTAGCATGTTCTTGTGGATTATAAGCTTGAGGGAAATTGGCTGCCACGAAATATGAGCTGTGTGTAATTACTCCCACCTGCTGGGTAAAATCTTTATTACATGGGTATTGCAGGACTTCCATCATAGGGCAAGAAGGAATTCAATGTGACCCACCCATATTCCCAGCTTGTGGACATATTCTTTCTTCCATGGTGGCTCAACTCAAACAGGAAACTGTGAGACAATGCCCTTCCCGTGAACAAAAGGAGAATTACTTCTCCTCTAGGAGGAATGAAAATGAAAATGGGGATTCACCATGATTACCCAGTAGTTGGTTCAGCAATTAGGGCAACAAGACTGGTAAACAATGTTTCCAGACAGAGAGGGTCTCAGCTTTAACCTTTAAGAGCTTGTTCTTGATCGTTGAATACACTGCACATTCCCTTCCCTGGCCCTTCATGGTGTATGGGGAAGCATTGACTTCAGAAACAGGAGTCAGCTTCCAGCTCTTAAGGGTACCATTTGTCCTTATCAGGATGTGAAGGAAATACAGGAAAAGCTTTTTTAAAAAAAAGAGGGAGAGAAAGGGAGAAAGAAAGAAAGGTTCTGTTTTATTTTATTTTGCATTGTTCTCTACCCCATATCAGAAGCCTTGCAAGTTTCAGAAATCTAATGTCAATGTTTTGTCCATAAAAATTGGAATCATTGTCTTCAGTTGACTACAAATGGGACCATAGTCCTCACAGTATGGAAGGCTATGGCTGCTCCTTTTCAACTCTTTCCCTCTGCCCTGAGCAAAACAAATGTACTTTAGCTGAGGAGCAGAGTGTTGAGTCAGGTATGTAACTCCACTTTAAGATTATCAGGCCTTGAGTTTGACTATTATGTCACGGACAAAGCTGAGATATCTGCTCTTTGGCAACAGGGGTAGGGAGAAATGAAGGATAATGCACTTTATGAGCTAATATTAAAAGTAGCTTTTAACTGACTTGGTGGCTTCAGTGTCAGGTCTCTGTCTCTGTCTGTGAGTGTACAGGTTTATGCATGCGTGTTCAACCATGTAAACATTTCACTCATATTTATCTTACCCTGTGATTCCCCTCACTCCTTAATCTTTATTTATTCTGTGATGTTTGTGTCCCTTCTCAATTTCATTTTTTTTCTCTTTCAATGTGACCTGTTAGTACATCGTCATCTGTAAGAACCATGAGAAGTGCCAATTTCATATTTCTATTTGCATAAAAAATTATTCCAAGCAATGGAGAAGCAGAATTTATCTGTATTCTACACCTATCTTGAACTTGGATAACTTTCTGTCAAGAAAATGATCTCCTTGAAACTCTGCTGGTCCTGCTGTTTTCACAAAGCACAGCTGTAGATTAACTGCTCCTAGCAAGCCTGTGTATCTAAGCTGCTAGTTTTCTTGCTAGTTTATCCAGCCAGGGAATATCAATAGTCTGGGACACTATTGACCAGTGTCTTCCAGATAGGTTTCACTGGACAGTAAAGTCTCCAAGAGAGAAATGAAGACACTGATATACTTTAAAAAAAATTAATGCTCTTAAAACCTACCACCTAAAAATAATCTTAAATTGCTTAACACTTTTGAAGAGCTACTATCGACTCTCACCATGATTTCAGTTAAAAGGTAAAATTTAGGGAAGATATTCTGAATGTAAGTTGAATGGATTAATGCATTGAAAAACCCACTGTTCCTCGTTTTTGTCCCTTCTTTTGTCAAAGGTTGACTACAGCTACCAACCAATGCTGATTTGACCTTAGTTCTTTGGTCCAATAATATAATTCCTTTTTCCATGCAAATGGTTATGTCTTAGGACTAACTATTTGGCTTTGGGGATTGTCTTTATTCTGAGAAACACCATTTCATCTTTGGATTAAAAAAAAAGTTCGAAAGGGGCCAGCGGTGAATAATAAGTTCCACTTTTAAGCACAGGCATAGAAAAATGAAACGAGAGAGATTTGACACTGCCTCTACACACTTACCTACAAGCAAGGAAAGGTGGGTTAGTACCACAAATATGAGATGTGGCCCCTCTTCTTGTGCAGATTGATGTTGAAGAGACAAAGGGGTAAATAATCCACCTCATGATACAGATGGAAGTAAATTCTAGTAGAGAAACAAGAACAGAGCAATTGGGGGAGGCAGAGAAAGGAATAGTCATTTTCCCTGGAAGAATTTTAAAAGGGGCCACCCTGGTGTTCAATGCTGTGTGTTTGTAATTATGTGATTGCTGTTCCCTTTCGTGGCTACAGCACAAGCCTTGTGATGTCATCAGATGTGTGAACCTCTTTAATTCCATCCTCAGCATGATACCTGCTTTGTTCTACAGGACCACAGACTTCATGAGTGGCGGAATGCTTACCACATACATTGTGAAGGCCACTCAGAAACAGAACTGTCCTTCATGGCCTTTAAAACATCTAAAAGCAGAAGGTTTTCAAACATGGCAGATGTGTTTGGTCAGCCCCTTGCTTGTATTAATGATCACAGATGGTCATAGCAACTGACTTCATTCTGCAATGGAGTAATTTTATCCTCACTCACTCAGTTTTTCCTTAGGCATGGGTTTTGATGCCATATTTATCAAGACATCCACTTGGAAGTGAATGCCATGCTGTGAGGAGCCATTATAGATGAACATTAGAGCCGCAATGCCAAATAATGACTATGCTGGGCAAATGCTTACTTAAAGGGCTGATTTTACTCATTTTGCTTGCTCTGTTCATGTACTGTTTGGGTAAGGGGGAGGATGGGAAGGCAACAATCTGTTTTGGCCCTTTGTTTTGGAAGCTAGTAATTATTTGCAGAGCTCAGTGGGCACCATGCTTAGCTTACACCTGGAAACAGAATTCTGGGCTAGACAGTGGGCATGATGATATTTCTACATCTGCAGATACTTCTTTGCCAATTGAGATGCAGACATTTGTGGAAATGGCCTCGGTGTCAGCCCCTGGCTTTTGTAATGCTTTCCTTGGCTCAACGAATTCTTTTTTCTCCCCCCCCCCCTCTTCTGTTGTCAGCACTGTTTCAACAGTGAGTTATATTATCTGGTGACATCAGAGGAAGCACAGTTACGGGTGTCAGCTTGGCAAAAGTTGCCACTTCTGACAGGTTTGTCACAGCAGCTTTTCCTCTTTCTTCCTTCCTTTTATTTTCTTTTTTCTTTCTTTTTTTTGCCATTTTCATCTTTAGTGATGAAAGATCCACACTTGGGAAGAAAACATGGACCTCCCTTGATGGTAATGGTTCTATGTCTCATTGAGCTGCTGTTGCTTCAGTACTGAGAGGAAGGGACCTGTGATCTTTGAGTAATCCTTCCCTATAGTATGAACGCATCACCAGAGCTGATTGCCTGCATCTATAGATAACAGAGCCTTTTCCTGGCAGTAGAGTCAGAGCAGGTTTCAAATCCATTAAGTTTAATGGTTTGTATAATGATTGGCTGTGACTGATGAAATAACCAAAAGAACAATTCATGGACAGCTTAGGGAACAGCCATTGTCCCCCGTCAGAGCAGACGTTAAACTATGGCTGGTTTCATTGCGAAGCACGAATTTTTCTCTCTTTATTTTTGCAGCTGGATCAACATGCCGCAAATCGGTTAAGGTAAAAGCTGCTGTGATTCAGTCAAAGGTTTGAAGCATTTACACTAATAAGTTTGAACTTGGCATGTTTTCTGTTGTAACTTTTTTTTTTCCATTTTAAAAGGTTCTACATATTTTATTAGTGAACCAACTAGTTTGCTCATGTGGAACAGATAAAAAGCAAATCTGATGCCCGATTTAGACATGACCAAATCTTCAGGGACTAAAAACGTTCAGCTCCATCTGGTAGATGAGCGACCATGAGTCAGCACAAACACTCAGTCATGCCACTGTGAATCCCTAGAGACTCAGCTTGTTCCCGGAGTGCCTTCGCTTGGAGCAGTTTCTGATTTTTGTTGCCAGTTTTCCTCCGGATCCATTGGGGATTGGGACAGTTTTGCTTTTGTTTCTTGGCCATGACTCACTTGTTTCTGAAACTCTGGTAAGAAGATCTGGGAAGTGGAGTCAGTTGTATAGAACATGATGGCAAAAGGGAGGAAACTGTGGTTGCTTTCAAAAATCAGTAGTAGTACAGAGTAAGAAATTTACAGACTGGTCTAAATGTATAGCTAAGTAATACAAGGTAAAATAAAAATCTACCCATGGAAAGCCAGGTGTGTGCATTGAAATGGAACCACCACCACCACCACCACCATCCCCTGCAATTCATGTCCCCTACGATCCACCAAAGAAGAAAGTTTCACTTAAGGGTGATGATGTCACTTTATGGTGTCTAAATCCAGATGAAAATGCTATATTTACTCTTTATCCTCAGGGTATAGAGAAATACCTAACTCAAAACAGGAACTCTCTGTAAGTGGCTTAGAAGTGAATAATGAAAAATCATGGATGAGATAGCTGTGTTTCATTTCTACATGGGTCAATGCTCTTTCAGAAAAAAGAGAAGAAAAAAAATGATCTCAAAATCATTCAACACTGATTGATATTCCTCCCAGATCTCCCTCTTTTCACACAGATCTCTTCCTGAGGAAAACAACTCAAGGATTTGTGTCTGTCACAGTCAATGATAGGTTTGGGATATGATAAGATGAAGAAAATGGTTAAATATAAGAGTAGATGCCTTGTAAGATAGAATTTGAAATAATGGCTCTCAGCAGTAGAATTTTGACAGGAGCACATGATGAGAAAATATAATCCCCATCCTGTTGATGGTTTCTGGTACAAATTGAAAAATGAGTTGAACAACCCCAACAGAATGTATGTTCCATGGCCCCTTAGAATAGCGCCCCAGTGACATGTAATGATCTTTGGAAACTCCACCTTCCTCTTTCTGAATAGGTAAAATCAGCAGGGGAATAAAAGGCAAGGAACAAAGTGGTCTTATCAGTAAGCAGCCTGTCCCCCTTAAATATGTGTTCTGAAATATATAGAAATTTCTGTCTATCTTGTATACATAAGGAAATCTCTTTATCTACGTGTACGTGTGAGCATTTATAGAGAGGTGGAGGAAGAAAAATAAAGAGAAAGAGGAGTCTCTTTATCTAATAATTTTATTAAAAAATTGATATCCCTCCCAGTCCATACTCAACAGTATTGTATTACTAATTCACTCATTCTAATAAACTCAGATTCTAGTACACAACTCATTTAAAAGAATCACAGACTGTCATGTGCTGGCATCATAGAGGATAAAAAAAAATGTAATCCCAAAAATGATTGAAGGGGTAAAGCCAATCTGAGAGATAATATTAAACTCCTACAGAATTATATGAATTCAAGAAATTCTATGCAGCAAAAGTAACAGAACCGCTATCATGCATCAGGCACTACATTATGGCACTGGCTGATGCCCTGCTCTTTGCTGCCTGGGGCCTGTGATTGCCTGTGTTATATTACCTGCGCTGCAGGTTCTCAGTAGCATTGTAAACCTCATTGAGTTGGAAGCATGAAGCCCTGTAACAGTGTTTGCATTAGATTAGCCCCATTCTTGTAAAACCCCAGAACAGCATATCTGTGAAAGGAATTGAGCCTTTTACTGTAAAAACCAGGGTCTCATTTTCTTTTTGTCTGCATGCAATATGTTTGAGATATGATAAGATGAAGAAAACAGTTAAATAAAAGACTTTGTGCCTCAGAAGTTAGGAATTTAAATAGTGGGATAAAGTTAATGCATTTTGACAGTTAAGCAAGAATTTAAATTTTGGAATGCAAGATATCTTTTAACATAAAATCCATGTACATGGAAATCCATGACAAAGGGCCATTTTAGAAAACAGAAAGACCACTGGCTTCTCTGTTTCTCCACATTTCTGCTCAAAACTTACTCTATCTGCCAGGGCCACCCTGATCACCCAGCCCCTCCCTTGCCACCCATATCTCCATGAGACTCTATTGTAAGATTTATTGTAATGTCTTCATTTGCTTTTTTGTCCTTTCATTCTTTAACATAAGCTCCATCAAGGAAGCAACCTCTTAAATTGTCCCCTGTATTCTTCTTTTTAATTGCTATTATGAAAGATCTGGTGCCAGTTACTTTATTTTTTAAGGGTGTTTACTTAGGTTATAGCTCTGAAGACTCAAGGGCATGGTGCCAGTCTTAGCTTTCCTCTGGTGCCAGCTCCACTCTATGGCAGATGGTATGATAGGGAGAGCACACACAACACAGATTGTAGAATATTCTTTAGAATACAATGAGGGACCAGTAACATTCTCCCAGAAGATCCACCTCTTAAAGTTCCCACTACCTGTTAACAATGCTGCCTGAGGACGAAAACCCAAACATATGAATCCCTGGATCCACTGAAACACAAGTCCTAGATGAGATTTTGAGCTTTACGCATAAGGCCATCAGGCATTTTCTTTAGTGGGCTTAGGATCCCTGGCGCCTTGCTTCTATGATCACACAGGCTACCATTCCCTGTAGCAGGTGCTGTTGTTACTGTCATTAATGACTTTGGGAGACAGAAAAACCTGCTTAGATGGGTAAGTAGATGTTAGCGCTGATTAAGATACCGAATGCTCAGCTAACTGTAAGGAAGCAGCTCAGGTGGTTATAAAACTTGGTAGGCTGACACAGAGAAAAACACATACGCATGCACACTACTGCTTTCCCGCTCTGTCACATGGCCATGTGATATCTAACTGTGAAGAGACATCCTGCCTTCTCATTCGGGAGTTCTGTTTGGGTGGTCTTCTCCAAACACCAAATCATGGTATATGATTATTTAGAAATAATCATAGGATTACTTCTCTAGTTTGCTCTTTTCTAGAGCTGTCAGTGAAAGGGTGGTGAAAATCTATAGCAATGCAATGTGCATGCCCGTGATTCGTGAGAATAGAGACATAACAATATGAACAACAAAATCAAATGTCCCTACTGTTAGCAATTGGGGATTTAGTAGGTGTAGGAATTCTGGGGTTGAACTTTTGGAAATTAATGATTTGGTGATGAGTTTCCAGAGAGCAGGTGGGGGGAGATAAGCAGATACAGTTGAAAAGTCACTGAAATTGAAGGCTCAATTGTGGTTGGCAAATATGCTTAGAAGGTAGTAAAAATTTGATACCTGATTACTTTCATATAATTCTAAATAAAGGAATGGATTCTTTCTTCTTGAAATGACAGGAAACTAAGGGAAACACAGAGGAAACTGTAATGACTTTCATTGCCTTTTGTTACATGTTGAATCACATGCTTTTCCAAAGAAGTGTTACTGTCTTGACCCTGGGTGTCACTGACTGAAACTTTGTCCAAAAACGAAGTCTTTGTGTGGAACCTAGTTGAGGTGAGGTCATTTGAGAGTAAAAACATCATATCCAATACTCATGATATCTTTACAAAGAGTGATAACCATGGGAAGACACTCAACAAGAATGTCATTTATGAGCAGGGGCAGTTGCGGGAGTGATGTATCCAGAAGCCTAGAAGAGTCAAGGCAGAGATAATAAACCCTGGTAACACTTTTATTTCATGTTTACATGCTTCAGGAACTATTTGACAATAAAATTTTGCTGTTTTAAGCCCAAAGTGTGTTATATGTTGTTACCCTATTCATGGGAAACGAATAGGTCTTCCTTGACTGAAAGCTAACAGGGAAAAGGCTGAGTTAAAAAGTAGAGTGAAAAAATTATGGCTTCTCATCACTGGCCATGTTGGAGAAGAGGGGTTGGTATTTTCTAGAACCTTGTAGGTTCCTATTTTTCTTAAACTCTCTAGTTGGGAAGAAGAGTGTTAAGTGTTAAGCAGTGAAAGAGCAAAGCTAAGAAGACCAGGTGGTCTGTACTGTTAGCTCCCTGTTTAGAGAAAGGGTCATTAGGCTCACTTTACAAACCTAGGCCAGCCAGAATTATTCCTGGCTCTAGTACAGCCAGACAGTAAGGTCAAACTGATTTCAGGGTCATTTTTAAATGAATTACTTAAATACCATTAAAAGTAATCATTGCCCTTTTCTCAGACATGACATCAATGCCTAAAAAATCAAATTATTGAATTTTCATGCTGTCATATCAACAAGCTTTGTATTTATGGCCTATAGACTTCACCTAATTTGGGAGTAAAAATGATGACTAAAGAAAGAAGCTATCATGGCTGGACCTTATCCTGGCCAGTCCGGGAACTGAAATACAAAGATTGAAAATTTAAGGCCTCCATGGGCAACTTAGCAAGACCCTGATGCAAAGTAAAACCTATAGAAAGGGCGAAGGATGTAGTTTCATAACAGAGTTCATGATTAGCATCCATAAGTACCTAGATTCAATATCCAAAACCATGGAGACAGAGACTTTCATCAAATATAGACATGGTGGAATTGCCCTAGAGGTACTAACTAACAAGCCTGTGTCTTCTGGCAACATTTATTTTCAGCACTCCATAGGTGCTTTGTTATTTCCCTCTCAGAACCAGAGATGACTGAAAACTTCTGATGTGTTCTAAATTTTTCACAGTGACCTCCATACAATTTCTTCCTGCACAATTTATCTTATCAATCAGAGCATCTTCTTGACTTACTTTCAGTAAAGTTTGTTGGGAGAATAGTTCCAGAAGGGAGAAATTGGTAGATTACTGTGTGTATAAAGGCTATCCAATGTCTTTGTCATTTCTGGGGACAGGGGAGAATTTAGACAGAACAAAAAAGATAGAAAGTAATGTTTTGTAAGTATTTATTTTTTTTTAATTAAAATATTTAATACATTCTACTTCAGTATTAGGAAGGGGAGTTTTAAAGATTTTAATCTGTCAAAATTAACCACTTGGTGTTAAAAAGTTTATGAGGATGCTGTAGCTTTTTATATAAGCTAGCTGATGCAAATGGCTTTGTGGGACACCTGAGCAGGTGAGGCCTTCCGTCTGTTGATGTTCTTGAGCCATTGCATGTGGTACCCTGCACAATCTGGGAAAGAGGAAGAAGAACCAATAGAAGTAGAGGCTTTTGTTGGGTCAGGCACAGTGTCAGAACCCTCTACATGCTTTATTTAATCAATAAACATCAATCAGTATTTAGTTGCTAGACAGATAGAAAACCTGATATGCTTAATTTAACATTCTTAAAATAATATATATGTATATGTAATATATATAGAAACATTCTCTAGAAAAATTATTAATAAATACTATATAGTTTTAAACATTTATGGGATTATTTCCCTGTTTTTTTAAATAAGAAATTCAGTACATAATTATTTCAAAGAGCAAAAGTTAATTACAAACTTATCATATACATATGTTCAGTAAACAAACATTTATTATATCTTCACCAGACTCTAGAAATGCAACAATAACAAGATATGTATATACAGTCTTTGGTCCCATGGATCTTAGCTAGAAAAGACACAGACATAGAAGCTGGTGGGGCATGAGGCATCCTCAGAATTGCTTTAGGAAGAAGATTCTTTGAAATTGTCTATGCCAGTAAGGAAGATTCATCAAGAAAAGAGAGCATGGAACAAAAAGGGATTGAGATCAAGGAACAAGGAACAGGAAGATGGTAGCTGAGACTGGGAAAGAAGGAATAATGAGAAATGGAGCTCGAAATGGATGCAGAGGTCAGGTTAATGACCTTGTAAGTTAGATTAAAGATTTTCTACTTCATTTCTTTCTGAAGGTCAGAGAGGACTTAGGTTCAGGTCAAAAATTAAGAAATACTATTTGGATTATTTTTGTTGCATGAGGATATTTGCCTTTATTATTTCCTTCTTTACTTCTCAATTTAAAAAATTACTGAGTCCTGTCTGTCTTAACCTCTTCATTTCTATTTTATTTATGCAACATGAGGCTACACTATTGCAGAATATGGTAGACATTGGTGGACATAAAAAAAAATTAGTCAAGGTCTCAATGTTTGCTTTAATTATGGTTTCTATTGCTATAATAAACAGCATGGCCAAACACAACTTGTAAAGAAAAGAGTATATTTGGTTTACACATGCGCCAGGTCATGGTCCATCACTGAGACAATACAGAACAGAAACTCAAGACAGGAACCTTCCTCCATTCCCTTCCATGTCCTCCTCTCAAATTCATAGCTCCTTTTTCTCTGTTATTGTTATGTATATATGCATAAGTATATAAATAACCTGCCTAATCCTTATAGTCTTACTTGTATATAACACTACAAGCGTTCAGGGCTAAATGCTTGGTACTGAAGGCTCGTCCCTGGAGAAGACTATTTCTATTTCTGCCACTCTCAGAATTTCTTTGTTTCTTTCTTTTTTTTTTTTTTTAATTTGAGGGAAGACCCAGTAAAATTTCACCCTTCCATTTTAGCGTATTTCATATTTGTGTTTTTCTTTTTCAGGTCATCTTAAGACAGCCATCTTGTTGAGGTATTGTAGATGAAATGTTCCTGTCACAATCCAAATGTGAGTTTATGCAAGTGCTCAAATTTGAGAATAATGAAGAATTAGTTTATTAACTTGAAGGCTGTGCATTTTAAGTGATTGTGGCTTCTTGTAATATTCATCTATTGCAATAAAAATTTCTTTTATAAGAGATGAGAATTTCACCCATTTGTGAGTAGAATTATTTAAAATATTTAGAAATTATAATAATTTAGGGACATAATTTAGGGACATAGTAGGTTCTCCTCTCAGGTCCATGACCTCTCAGAACCACAGGTCATAGTCGGTTTATATGGTTGGCTTGAATTCTCTCCTGTTGAGTAGTTTTATACCCACTAAGACAGCTATTGGTTACACCCAGACAGGAATGTCAGTGTTGTACCATTGTACAACATCATGCAGTCCAGTCCTCTCTGTGGTTCATAGTGATTAAAGGCTCACAACATTAGCAAGGTTGAGAACCACTGCTCTAGAGACAAGTTTCCATGTAACTTGTTCAATACCATGTGGTTTTCCTTGGACACATATAAGTATAAGCGATGCTAAGTGAACACAATAGATTGTAAATACATGTCTCTATGTAGTTTTAATTGACAAGTTATACATATTTATCAATGCAGAGTGATACACACACACACACACACACACACACACACATACACACACACACTACATTGTAGAATGGCTACAATAAGCTAATTGGTATCAGTATCATCTCACATACTTTCTCCCCCTATGGTAAAAGACTTAAATCAACTCTTAACCATTGTTAAGTGTATAATACATGGTTGTTTACCAACATATACTTTTTTAATTTTTTTACTTCCATCTAACTTAAAATGTTGTATTCATTGACCCATATCACTATCCAGTTTCCCAGGCCCCACATCTCTGATATCTATCCTACTGCTACTTCTGTAGGCTTGTTGTTTAAGGAATCTACTTGAAAGGAAGATGGCGGTCTTGTGTTTCTGTATTCTATTTATTAACTAAATCGTGCTCTGACTGTTACTGTGATTTTTTTCTGTGTACATTAAAAATCAAAGGAAATACTAATTTTCAGTTAGAATTCAAGGAAGAGAAAAATATGAACATTTTATTTTCATCCACATTAACAGATGTCATGCGCTGACATCCACACACGCCTAAGAATTTCTGGACACACTTAAAGTCCTTTAGGCTCTGAGGACCAGTTGATACTCTCAGATTATGTTCAGTGTTTCTCATATCCCCTATATTAACTTTTCTGTCATGTTGCTGTAGTATTTTTATTGTAGAACATCATAGTTAGTAGTTGTAGTACTATGGACTGAATCTCAAGTATCATAGATGTACTCAGGCACTCTATAACTAAGCTATACCCCAGCCCATACTTTCTGTCTGTATCTTCCATCTTTGCATTTTCTTTCTTTTTATTTCCTCGGTATCCAGGACAGTGTCTCATATAGTGGGCACTCGGGAAAGTTTGCTTTATAAGTGAATTAAAGCCCCAGGGCAACTTCTGGTAAGCTTTTCAGGTTACCAGTAATTAAAAGACCTCGATTTAATTATTCACTTGATCAAGGGTCCCAGGCTCCAGGCCCTGACCTTCAGTTGGAGTTCTTTCTCTAGCAGCGGCTTCTTTACATGATATGACCTTTCTCTGGTGCCTTGGAGTGCACATCATCCTCTCTGAAGTTGCAGGTCCTAGTTTAAACTGAATTTTCAAGGTATTTTAATATCTCAAAAAAATACAAATGGAAAAATTAATTGCATTGCTAGATAAAAATATTTTGTAATGATTACTAGCACGCAAATAAGTGCTTCTATTTATAACTGAGAAAAACAGCTAATAATGGAATATAAATTGTTTGCAGCAATTCCTCTGAATACTGTGTTGGAAGATTATAAATAACCTCACCAATGTGCTTACTGGAAAAAATCACTTAAATTAGTCTAAATATATTAAAGTAGTTGTTATTCAAGCATGGACCTTTATTGCCACACTGCCCAGTGCAGCTCTCTATATGAAGACATTCCAGATCAGCCAAGGCTGGCTATCAGGGTGCTTCATTGTATGAGAATCAGGTGGGCACAGTGCTTGAGAAATTATAAATGGCATGAATCCCGAGAGTAAGCACAGAGGATCCGAGTAAGAAAGGAGAAAGGAAGACTGCAGGAGTGGGGATCAGCCCCGGACTCCTCCTCAGCTGTCCTCCAAAGCTCTATGGAAGGCTGTAGTCCTGCTCCAAATTCCACCCCAAAACTCATTAGTTCCCTTTTCCCCTGTGCCTTATCAGGGCTTATTTCTAAATGGCCACAAAAACCTTGTAACTATGCATTGAAGTTAACATAATATTTTTTTTTCAAAACAATGCTAACATCGGCCCACAGTGATTTTTTGTTTATGTGGAAAAACATTTTTTTCTATGCCTTAGAAATATCTGTTTTGTAGACAAAGATGGAGATAAAAGTCCCTAATGGTGACACAGGTCATGCCTGTTCCAATCTCAAGTTTCAAAGGTTTTACTTTGAAAGGTTTTTTTCTTTTCTTAAGAAACAAAACAAAACAAAAAACACGCCACGTTTATAGGAAAGGAAACATAAAAATCTGTAAGAATAAATGAGGTCAAACACATACAAAGTACTTGGAACATAATTTTAATTGTGAATCTTTTCCTTTCCTAAAGAATTGTACAGATAGACTTCTGCCTTCGAAAAAGAAGAGTTCCCTTAAATTCTGTGCAGACCCCAGAAGACAACAGTGATCTGTACAGTCCAGGACGAGCAGAGCTGTAAGAGTGTGCCATCCTCTCCTTGTGGAACACTCATGTCATGGCCATTGTGGGAGGGGCCTTTGTCGCAGTGAGAGGATAGGGAACCAGGAATCACAAAGGCTGGTATTCCCAACCATTCCTCACACCTAACAGGCTCCTAAGCTGCCAAGCTCTATGGTAGGCCACTTTCTCCTTTTTCTGTTTCCTATATTTTTTCATTGCTTTTATTTTTTAAAATGAGACAACATATTCCTTCCCCCACCCCTTTTCCTTTTCCTTTTTTTTTTTTTTTTCCTGCTCAAGCCCTCCAGCTCTGCCTGAGGCAAGATGCTGTGGGGATTAAAAAGATGAAGCAGCTAAGTCAAATCGATTGTGACAGCCAATGGATGCACAAACACCTCAACAAGCAAATGTTCAGCCTTGTCTCCTGGGCTTCCCACCTGCGGGCACATCACCAAAGCTCCTTCTTGAGTTAAGGGCTCAGCAAAGCAAAACACAAATAACTAACCAAGTGCCAGCAATGCATAGCCTTCAAGTTAATAAATTAATTCTTCTTTAATCTCAAATTTCAGCACTTGCATAGACTCACATTTGGGGTACGAGAAGTATGTAGAAGCTTATGATATACAAATCAGAAAGGAGACGAGAAATGTTTCAGCTCGCCTTAGCCACTAGTAAGTGAGGTATCGCCATTTGGGTTTCTATTGCTGTGAAGAGATAACCACAGCAACTCTTTCTAATTAATTTTTTAATTTATTACAATTTATTCACTTTGTATCCCAGCTATAGACCCCTCCCCAATTCCCTCCCAATCCATTCCTCCCTCCCTCGTTTCCTCCCTCTTTTCCTCCCTCTTTTCCTCCCTCTTTTCCTCCCTCTTTTCCTCCTGTGACATTTCCCCAGTCTACTAATAGGGGAGGTCCTCCTCCTCTTCCATCTGACCCTAGCCTATCAGGTCTCATTAGGACTGGATGTATTGTCTTCCTCTGTGGCCTGGTAAGGCTGCTCCCCACTCAGAGGGAGATGATCAAAGAGCAGGCTAATCAGTTCCTGTCAGAGACAGTCCCTGTCCCCATTACCATGGAACCCACTTGGATACTGAACTGCCATAGGCTACCTCTGTGCAGGGATTCCAGAACATCTCCATGAGTGATCCTTGGCTGGAGTATCAGTCTCAGAAAAGACCCCTGTGCCCAGACTTTTTGGATCTGTTGCTCTCCTTGTGGAGTTCCTGTCCTCTCCAGGTCTTACTATCTCCCACTTCTTTCATAAGATTCCCTGCACTCTGCCCAAAATTTGGCTATGAGTCTCAGCATCTGCTTTAATATCCTGCTGGGTAGAGTTTTTCAGAGGCCCTCTGTGGTAGGCTCCTGTCTTGCTATACCACTCCTAAGCATATATCCAAAATATGCTCAAGTATACAACAAAGACATTTGCTCAACCATGTTCATAGCAGTTTTATTCATAATAGCCAAAACCTGGAAACAACCCAGATGTCCCTTAATGGATACAGAAATTGTGGTACATTTACACAATGGAATACTATTCAGCAATTAAAACAAGGAAATCATGAAATTTACAGGCAAATGGTGGGAACTAGAAAAAATCATCTTGAGTGAGGTATCCCAGAAGCAGAAAGACGCACCTGGTATACACTCACTTATAAATGGATATTAGACATTTAATGTAGGCTAAACATACTAAAATCTGTACATGTAAAGAAGCTAAGCAATAAGGAGGAACCTGGGTAAGATGCCAGTCCTCATTCAGAAAAGCAAACAGGATAGACATCGGAAGAGGGAGAAAACAAGGAACAACACAACAACTCTTATAAAGAAAAACATTTAAGTGGAGCTGGCTTACACTTTCAGAGCTTTAGTCCATTATCATCATGGCAAAAAGCATGGCTGCATGCAGGCAGATGTGGCACTGAGAGTTCTACATCTGGATTGACAGGCAGCAAGAAGGAAGACTGAGACACACTCACCAGACTTGAGCTTCTGAGATCTCCAAGCCCGCCCCCAGTCAGGCACTTTCTGCAATAAGGCCACACCTACTCCACAAAGGTCACACCTTCAACTAGTGCCACTCCCTAGGAGCAAGCATTCAAACACAGGCTTCTATGGGGACCATACTTATGTACAACCACAGGAAGGATTGCTCCCCATGCTGGAAACAACCCAAATCAGCTTATCTCACGCCAACATTATCAACTACTGTTACACTGTTTATGTCCATCTAAGAGGTGATTCTTATCATCCACAGGGATGTATCATTTAGGAAAACTATCTAACAGCTCCCTAACTGAGTATGTATTGTGCCACTTATAAATTGTATAAGTACGCCCATGGAGACACTGTGTGTTTCATTTTCACGTTACTTATCTAAATCATGTTTAGCCGGTGATATAGAAATAACATGTTAGAACTATGATACAATAGTTGCTATGTGTTTACTTATAATTCATTGAAAGTAATTTTCTTGTCGGGGGGTTGCATGTGTGCATGTGTGTATGAAAACGGACATGCTAAGGCCAGAGACTGATGGTAGAATTTTTTTCTCTGTCATTGTTCACTTCATATTTTGACACAGGTTCTTGCTGAACCTGAAGTCAGCCATTTTGGCTCAATGGCTGATAACCAAGCCCCTGGTATTGTCTCCATTCTCCCAGTGTTTGGATGACAGATACCTGTCACCACACTTGATTTTTTATATCAGTGCTGGAGATCTGAACTCCGGTCCTCTCGGTCCTGCATCAAATACTTTACCTACTGAGCCATCTCCCCAGGCTCAAGTTATCCCATTTTCTTGAAGACATATTTAGATGTAACTTCATCTCCTAATATTTTGATGTCTTATTTTGTCTGAGCACAAACAAAATGAGGCCCAACGTTTACCTCAAATATCATGAATTTTTTATGAGCCAGCATCATGTTGATAAGAATTTTACTTAGCGTCTAACATTTGAAGTATTGTGATAAATGTAATTTCCAGCATGATAACATTTAAACTCTAATGGCATCTATGTTTTCACTATAGGTTAAGTTTGTGGAGAAAATAAGAAAAATGCCTGGAGATTGACAAATAGAGCTAAAGACATTTTATTAGAAAGAAATGTGCTTCCTTTGTACTTTAACGATTAGAGAAATTTCAGTATATTGTCTCTATACTTTCTCAGTTTTATTATAAATAGAGATGAAATGAAAAGATCCCATGTCCTTCCTAAGACCTGTACATATTTTTAAAATGATATTGTGATTAGCTCCTACCTTGAAGTAAGACACCATACTGTGGGCCTCCAAGGACACTTGTTTGAACAATTGTTAGAAGTTGCTTTTCAGTAAGGATGCAGTAGTATCCAGAGAGCCAGCAGGGGGTAGGTTCTGCAAGTCACTACCATCCTCTTGCTCCCATCCTGGCTTAGGAGAAGACAGTCTAGGAACACTAATTAACAATAATTAAAATTCCATAGCAGTTTTGTTATTTCTCTAAGCTTATTTACTGTCAGGAAAATCTTCTTTTATCCACACAACGTTTTAGTCTACTTCCTATAAACACACACACACACACACACACACACACACACACACACACACACATCCATATATAGCCCCTGAGACAATAAGCTGCGGAATTATAACCCCATCAAAATAGCAGTTAAGGCACCTGCTTCTGTAAGTTGGTAATGGATTGTTGTTTTCCTACTCCCTCTGGATTCCTTTTCTCTTTCGGGAAAGATTGGTATATTCAGTCAAGACAGAATGCTCTCTGGGTTTATTATGTTGAACTGATGCGTTAGTCTTCTTCTTCTTCTTCTTCTTCTTCTTCTTCTTCTTCTTCTTCTTCTTCTT